TCTCCTGGGTTGTTTTTATTTCTCTTTTTATAGATGGGCACTATATTTGCCCTTTTCCAGTCTCCTGTCTCCCATGATTTTCCAAAGATAATAGCTAGAGGCTCAGATACCTCCTCTATTAGCTCCTTGAGTATTATAGGATGCATTTCATCAGGCCCTGGTGACTTGCAGGCATCTAAATTTTCTAAGTGATTTTTAACTTGTTCTTTATTTATTTTATCTTCTAAACTTACCCCATTCCCATTAGCATTCCAGAAAATAATATCCACTCCAAAGTAAAGTCCATTAATTTTTGTATTGACATGCCCAAACACTTCATACTTTGCAAGTGCGAAAGATTAATAATATCAAATTTAAGCTTGTGTAGTTATCACTTAGCATTAGTTTCTATAGTAGCAAGAATGATTTTATTTTTTGATTTAGGTGTTTGAATTTGAAGAATTGTACAATACCTGTCCAGTGTATGCAAAGTCCAGGGCCTGCTTTAAACCTAGGCTTGTGACACCATGCAAATTCACTTCATCAGCTCCACTCTCAACCATACAGAGACTGAACATTGCCTAAGAAGAGAAAAGAAACATTTGCAGACATTAAAAATGAGATGGAGGGAGAAGCATGAGAAGTTTCAGATGAACACTGTTGATTTTTGCTACCTAACCACCCCTTGCTATTCTCCAGGTAAAACACCTCCATAGCACCATGACTACTATTGAGGTGCCAGGGCTCAAGCAATTTTTTTACATTTATAACTGATGCAGCAAGCCCAGATGTGCCAGAGCTATGAACTGCCAAGCTTAGAGGTGCCGGGGCTCAGCCCTAGCATAAATTAAGCACTGATAGGTTTTAATTATTACGGTTTCCTTTGACTCCCCCTCAGTAAGTAGGTTAGCAACTGAGCTGTTTCACTGATAAAGAAGTGCAAAGACATATCCTTGAAGAGAAAAACTGCAACTAATCCAACAAGATCCAATTCTGAAAGCTTTACACTGAGTAATACTTTACTATGCAAGTAATTCCACTAAAACCAATGGGACCACTCACATAGTATGGTACTATTCAGTGTAAGTGGGCAACTTGGACCCTGAAAAATCATTCTAATCAAACACCACTAGAACAGTAAATTAGACTTGTAGGTCTATAAAATATTTAAAGAGTTAAAAAGGGCAAGGTAAACCCTCCATGGTTATTTGAAGAAGTAAATTAGTGTATTAAGACAGTTAAAGCATCTTTTTAAGAAGTGGTAATCCTACCCAAATAGCACAAAAGAATGCCAGGAAATTAGAAATAAAAAAGGCAAAGAGGTAACATGAAGAACAGTCATCTACCAATATTAAGGTACACAAAATATTAAAGTACATTAAGAGCAAGGCCACATATGTATGGATGCAGACCTGTTAGGCCCCATTTTTATGCTCCCCAGAAAATGGAATGAGTCAATAAACTCACTCATTTGTCAATAGTGACAAACAAAAAGAAATACTTCAAAGTTTGCAGCTGGCTGCTGGACAGTACTGCATAATTGACCAGGGCACATGATCTTGGTTTCCTTTCTCTCCCACCTTCCTCCAAGGCATAGTTTGCTGACTGAGGAAGGATGCTAGACTTGACAGGCCAAACTTGCATGGCCTATTTGGTTTAAGATCATTTTCTCCCAACATGATTTGGTACTTAAGATCTAAAAATTGAAAATGAGCTCATCAGAGTTCATTTTTAATATTTGCACAGAATGTCATTGAGTTGTAGACAGTGTCAATCCCTTCCCTTAAAACAATGTGAACTCCCTCTTAAATTAGAAACTGAAATTTGCTGTTTCAAAAGTATTTCCCTCCCTTAAGGGTGGGGTTTCCTTCCCCACTTTATGAATACTTTCAAGCTCCCAAAGACACTAAGAACAGACATTTCAAATGTTGTAATAATTAATAAAAATATTTTTATTAGGCCTAGTTCTACCTTCAGATACATATGTCTAAATCTCATTAACTTTGGCATGTACATATATGAGGGCAACAATTAGCCCTTGCGTAACACATTATTTGCTCCAACTCATACTATCTTCCCTTCCCCAAGCCTGATCCATGTAACCTCTCTTTATTCATGTCCATCAATGGCTATTAGCCAAGATTCAAGAAGCTGGGAGGGGAAGATGGGTGGATCACTACAACTGCTCCATTCTGTACATTCCTCCTGAAGTTCTGTTACTGGCCAGTATCTTGTTGGAGACAAGATACTGGGCTAGGTGGACCACTGGTCTTACTCCAGTATGGCAGTTCTTATGTTTATGCAGCACCATTTTGGATTGTCAAATAAACTGCAATCTGCCTCGTACTGGCTATTTGAGTGGTGTGGCTAGGGATGTGACTGAAGCTGCAGACCACTAATTGAGTGTTGAAGCAGAAACATTCACTTATCAGCTACTGCAGAGAGCCACCCAGGCCCACACCTTCTCTTTGAGATGGACTCCAAGGGTGAAATCCTGATCCTATTGAAATCAATGGCAAAACTCGAGCTGATTTCCAGGTTGCATGTGTCAATCATATATGGCAGTGGGAGTGACATGATGGGAGGCACCTGGTGTGGAGGGTGAGCTCTTCTTGTCTGAGTGACAGCCAAGAAGTTATTGAAGAGGTCGAGGAGCTCCTGAGCCTACCATCCTAGCTAACATCTCCCCATAACTAGCCTCAAGCCCCTCACATCCCCAAAAATCAGCCTTTTTTTAGGGCTCATACTGAGTTCTCCTATAGTCTCTCTCCCTTCCACATACTGCTGAGCAGGGGTCATTGCAATCCAAATGCTAGTGTAGCTAGTGAGAGAAAAACACTAGGGCAGGATTCAGAGGGGCCAATCATGGGGCTACATGAATTTCCCACCCCCATCAGTGGGTCTGCAGGTCCCAACTCTATAGCCCCTTATATCACTACTAAAGTCAATGGAAGACGCAAGAGCTCAGCACCTCTAAAATCTGGTGCATGGTATCTCAGTTGAGACTGAGGAGTTTCAGTACAAAAATTGAAGCACCCAAAAATGTGTGTTCACTTCCAAAAGCATTGTTCTGATTGCCACTGAAATGAACTGTTCTGAAATGAATTTGTTCCCTGGCAGTGATCCAATTTAAGCAAACATGCCATTTATCAAGGTACTTGTTCTGCTCTTCTGCAATTTGTATTTCAATTAAAATTTTATCAGGGTTTTCCCTAACTGGCAATATAATAGAATATGTGTTAAACTAGGTATCACATTTACACAGTAAGAAATAGTCATTCTAAGTTTACCCAACTGAAAAGAAATCAGAACTGAAAAATTCAATGACTTGTCCAGCTCAGTAAAAACTGTAGTTTATTAATTACCACGCATGTCACCCAAAATACCAGTTGTCATTTATTTGTATATGGTATGCCAGGATGGCTATTTCATTCTGGCTTTCAACAATATTTCTCACCCTTGAGCTGGTTATAGCTACAATCTTCTTCCTTGCATTAATCACATAACACAAAAAGTCTGCATTATGAATCCTCTCCCTCCAATGTGCTCTGTTCAGTGCCATGTTCTCTATCACATCACACGCTGGCATGTCTTCATTTATGACATCCCACCACTTCTTCTCTGCTTAGCCTGTCTTTTTCCTTCAGTCTGATCTGTTGGACTCTCTTACCTACAGTGTTGTCAGAACTGCACTTTATAGCTACAATATGTAATATTGAAGTATGTAGCTCACCTGGCTAGCTGCAGATCTCTTGTTGCCGCCCCCCTCCTTCCCAACTCAGTTACTGTAAACATTAAAACTAGAAAGGTAGCAGTTTCCAAACATATGAACTGCAAACCTGTTTGTAGGGAGTGATTTCACACAGCATGAAAAGCACTCTAACCAAAATGATGAAAAGTATTCTGTAATGGGGTGTAGGATGCCATGTAGTGAAGTCATTTTAAATGGCAGTCCATAACCTGTGGAATATAGCAAATGACTCAAAATAACCATCACTCCTTTCGGAAATAATTGCACTGAGCTGTGTGGTGCCCCACATCAGATCTCTAAATAAAGTACTTTGAACTGGTAATTTATAAATACCCTATCATTCAAAAGCAGTGGGTTTTGTTATGCACAAAATATGATTATTAAGTTTTGTTATTTTCTTCAGTCAGAAAGCAAACACCAATTAGATCCTATCCAATAATTGTCAGAAGACATTAGAAGATAAGTTTGTTCTGTTGAAATTATCTCCTTACTGTTTTATCCTAATTATTCTCAGACCTTGTCTGAATTGTAAACCACTTATTTTTTTCTTAAATTTAGGGCCTTAGTTGGTGAATCTAAAAAAAAAGATTAGGAAAAAAAAAGATTAACACCAGCTGCTGCTCGCAAATGTCAGGGCTAGCGGGGTTCTGATGTTATTTTGCTAAACTTCTGCATTTCAAAGAAAGAATTCACATTCCAAACACTACACCACAACTAAGTATTTACATTTTCATATATTCAAATGATACACATGTCATTAGATTTAATTAAAACATATTGATGATACAGAATTTAAACTAAAGCACAGTTACAGAGCTTATTCTGCCTTAGTGCAAGCAGGAAAAGAGTGCTATTCAAAATTGGTTATGCATGTGCAAATCCACATTATTGCTAATGATATGGTGGAAAATGATTTGTGCATCAACTATTATTTATTATAAAGAGTAAATTACCGTTCTAGCACCAGGCATTGTTGCAGTGCTGACTACCTGTTTACTTAGTATGAAGTGTGGAACTGTGGAACAGAAAAGTAACAGCAACAATATGGAACTCATTTAAGATATGCAGAGCTAGATCTTCACTCATTGTAGTCAGCATAGCTGCACTGGCTTTGAAGTAACTATGCTGGTTTATTCCAGCTGAGGATCTGGCCTGAGATTGGAAGGAAGTTTCCAGAAGTTCCCTATTATTATTATATTATATTTCAAAACTCAGAAACACCAGTGCAAACACTTTAACAAACTATTCTGAAGTTACATAAAGGATATATTGTTGTATTGGCAAAAAAGCAGCAATTATTTATACCAGATACAATTTACTTGGCTGATTATCTGTACTTTCTTTCCTACTAGGGCCAAATCCTGGTCTCACTAAAATCAATGGCAAAACTCCCATTGACTTTGATGAGAAAAGGATTTTGCTCTAATTACAGATATTTTATACTGGGGGGGGGGGGGAGGAGAAACTATTTCCCCACAGCCCATATTCCCCCTCTACTTAAGCTCACTACAGAGTCAATATCACTTCAGAGTGTGTTGCCAGTGTCTACACTGTTTCAAATATAGCAATATAATATAAGAGCTTGTTGCTGTTGTCAAAAAAGAAAACAAGATTGCATGAGGAATGCAAGGTTGCATAAAGAATAGTATGGTAAATTTTCTCCATATTATTATATGCCTTTATCTAAAACAATGGTGCAGCCTCCTCTAGAATACTGTGTGCAGGTCTGATCATCTCCATCTCAAAAAGATCACAGAACTAGAGGGGATTCAGGGAAGGGCGACAATTATGATTGGGGCAGGGAAAAATTCTCATCTGAAGAGAGATTGA